GTGGATTGAAGAAATAATTAACTACATTCAAGTCCATTAATTGATATAGAGTAGTGGGTAGTGACCATCCTTGAATTTGGTTCCGTGAAGAAAGTTGATCAACTAGTTTTGGTTTTAAGACATTGATTCAGGTTGATATGTTGTCTTTACAAGAGGTTAGGTGAGGGCCTTTCATATCGTCGTCTTCTTCATTGTCGGGAAGGCTTATGAGATTCTCGTGAATTTTTTGCTGTTTAGTACTTAAAATTAACTTGCTTGAATTTGTCTTGTGACAAATCTAAGACTCATGAAAACTATTGTCAAAAGGCATATATTCCACAAACTGCTGTCAAAAGACTTCAAATAGGTAAAGTAGCAGGTTCAGTACTGTCACCAAATTTTTTCTACAATGGGGATGCTTCTTCAGGCAAAAAGAACCAAGAGGCCACAACCCTTCAAAGTTTGCATAATAGTCTTTTTTACAGCCATGTTTTATGGCCAAATCCTCTCCTTACCTTATTCTTCAAGACCATCAATAATTAATCATAGAGGGAGGCAGACAAGTAGGCTCGTCTCTTTACTTAGAACAAGAAATGCCTATAGACAATATTACTTCGTGTCTTGCCTTACTTTTTTCTTGTCTTTACTTAGAACAAGAAATTTTAGGTAGCCCATAGACAATATGTTGTCTATAGACAATATTACTCAATGTCTTGCCTTACTTTTTTCTTGAGCTGATTTTTATTAAATTAAAAAAGTAACATTTACTACTTGATTATCTTTTATTTTATGTATTCAAACACACACACACACACACACACATATATATATTGATATGAGTGGTGATATATGTGTAGGTTACCAGGAAAGGCATATGCAAGGAGGCAGCATGAATGGCTCACAGGTGCAAATGAGGTTGACAGCAAAACCTTTTCAAGAGCTATTCTTGCTAAGGTATCACCATATGACATTGCCTTTTTCCTCATTTACTATTAGATTATATATGATTAAATAAAGACATGTTGTTTAAGTGTGTTCAACTAATTATGTACCTGACTTTGGAGGCGTCCATGGATATTGAAGTACGCCATTCATTTTTTAGATAATGAAATACCTTAAACTTCTGTGGGGTTGTGGCTAATAAGATTACACTGAACTTCACTTGGTCGCCACCTCCAAAGGGACCTTGTTTCTCAAGATTGTTCTCCCGAGGGGGGGGGGGGGGGTTTGTTTACAATGCAACACAAAAAGTTATAATTTTCAGAACGAAGCTGAGTTAATGAGCACCGTCACTTGTTCTTCGTTTCCATCTTTTACTTCAATTCAGTGCACTAACTGTGCTGTGTCTTCCTGTTTGTTAACATAACAAAAATGCCCGTACGCTTGCAACAGAGTGCTCGAATACAGGTATATCTCCTTTTTGACCCGTCATTGCAGACTAAACAGTTCTCTCTTGCAAATTTGGGTTTTAAACTTTTAATCGATCTAAGGTTAAAAATGAACCACATTTCATTTCTATTTTATTGTTGCAGACTGTGCTTTGCATTCCTCTTCTTGATGGTGTCCTTGAACTTGGCTCTACGGAAAAGGTGATTAAAGTTGCCTTTTCGTTTCACTGAAATAAATAAATAAATAAATAATAAATAAAACACAAAGATCATGAATATGATGCGACTTCTTCGTTCAGTATGCTGACAGAAGATAGAAAACTTATTTATGGCATTTCAGGTCCAAGAGGATCTAGGGTTGGTCCAACATGTCAAAACCTTCTTCACTGGTCATAGTCATAACCCAAAACCTCCCCCACCAAAACCTGCTCTCTCCGAACACTCCACCTCAAATCCTGCCAATTCTTTGATGCATTCCCGCTTCCACTCTCCCATTCCTCCCATCTACAACGCTGCAGACCCTCCAGTAAACGCTAACCAAGAAGACGAAGACGATGATGACGAAGAAGAACCAGAATCAGACTCCGCCGAAACAGGTCTAAATAGCCTCCAAATCCCCTCGCAAAACACTAAAGCAGCAGTAGTATCCCCAGCCGAGCCAAGCGAGCTAATGCAGTTGGAGATGTCAGAAGATATCAGGCTAGGGTCACCAGACGACGCATCAAATAACTTGGACACAGATTTTCATATGCTAACCGAGAGTCGAAGCAGGAACCCAGCTGACCAACAAAGGCGAGCCGACTCGTTTAGAGCCGAGTCGAGTAGGAGGTGGCCAATGCTACAGGAACCAATGAGCAACAGCCTTCAACCACCTTCTTCAGGTAATTAAAATGATAATGGTAGACATTGAACTCGTTATAAATATTGATAATGGTGGACGTTGAACTCGTTATAAATTTTTTTTAATGCACTGTCGGCCAATCAGAAGAAATCTAGTACAAAATCTTAGTTGAAGAAGATGACGGATTACAGCCGATAATAAATTGGTTTCGACATTGTGGACCAAAATCGATCATACTTGATGATAATGTTGAAATTGTGTGCCCCTGCAGGGCCATGCATGTGCATGTGGCCAGTGAAATTAAATTTTAAAGCCTGTCCCCTATATTATTAACTCGAAGTGGGATATGTGGGGGGGGGTGGACTTTGGTCCTAGTGCGGACAAGTTCATAGTCTGCTTTTTCTCGGAGTTTTGGACTCTCTGATCCTAGGGATCGGGTTGTTTTGTTTGAGACTTCGAGCAGAGCAGAAACGATGTCTGCCTCTAATAAATCTTCTTCTCAGCGTACTGAGAAAAAGCCTGGAGAGTTGAGTCTGGCTTATTTCTTGCAAACTGCCAAATCTCTTTTGACAAAGCCAAATTTTAACTAAGCCATATAATATTCAAGGGTTATAGTTGACAAATTAAGTGCCTTATTTGACCCCATAAAATTAATCTTGCTTCTTCCCAACTGCATTGTCCATTGATGTTATCGTTATTAATGATTTTATTGTTTTTAACTATATTTTTATAGGGAAATGAACCATTGCTCGGAAATCAACCGAAGATTTGTTGAATTATTTATGGAGTGTTTTTCTTTTAATCAAGAATACTCATTTCATTTTTTTGTTTGATTTTGAATATATTGTAGGGCCACCGCCATTGGATGAACTGTCACAAGAAGACACCCACTATTCTCAGACCGTCTCCACCATCCTCCAAGGTCAACAAACCCGCAGGTCAGAGTCATCGTCAACCGGCTATGCCGCATACTACAACCAATCAGCATTTTCCAAGTGGACAATCCGTTCAGACCACGTGGCCGTCGAAAGCACGTCCCAGTGGCTCCTCAAGTACATTCTATTTAGCGTACCTTTCCTCCACAGCAAGTATCGCGAAGAGAACTCCCACAAGTCACGTGACACCGACGCCGCCACCGCTCGGTTCCACAAGGGAACGCCTCAGGAAGAGCTCAGCGCCAACCACGTGCTAGCAGAGAGGCGGCGAAGCGAGAAACTCAACGAGCGATTTATCATATTAAGATCGTTGGTTCCATTCGTTACTAAGATGGATAAAGCTTCCATACTCGGCGATACCATTGAGTACGTGAAACATTTACGTAAAAAGATTCAAGAACTCGAAGCAGATAATAGGCAAACGGAAGTTGATAATGAACGGTCGAGATCAGCGGATTCACTGCAGAGAACAATTAGTTTGAAGGATCAGAGAAGTGGGGTGAAGGTGTCAGAGCGGGCAAGATCATTAGGCCCGGCACAAGGGCAGGATAAAAGGAAGATGAGAATTGTAGAAGGGAGCGGCGGTGCAGCGAAACCCAAGACGGTAGAGCTGCGGCAGTCAACGGCGGAGACGTCGGTGGAGGTGTCGATAATAGAAAGTGACGCGTTGTTGGAGTTGCAATGCGGGTATAGGGAAGGGTTGTTGCTTGATATAATGCAAACGTTGAGGGAACAGCTTCTGATTGAGATAACGACGGTTCAGTCTTCCTTGAATAATGGGGTGTTTGCAGCTGAATTGAGGGCCAAGGTAACTCCTGAATTACTTCCACCATTTAATTAATTAATTAATTAATTAAAATATTTTATGTTAACTTAGTTACAACTTTTTTTTTTTTAATGAATGGCAGGTGAAGGACAATAATAAAAACGGAAAGAAAGTAAGCATAACGGAGGTGAAGAGGACAATAAATCAAATAATACCTCAATAATACTATGTTTTGACTAATTAAATAATTAGAATTACTAATGCTATATAATACTATGTAGATCCACCTAATGCTGACTTTAATTAAGGTCTTCTATATAGCAGTGTACAAACTTTCCTTTGAAGCCCCTTTAAACTGCAATCTAAAATTAAGGAATTGAGAGATTAACTATCCTCCTTCTCAGGTACATAATTCCAAGTGATCATTTACAATTTGCACAATGTAATTACACCTGATAAGAGATTATTAGGTGTTCATATCTTGTTTTTAATTAAATTAATATATTTAATTTAGTTATTAAGTCGATCATCCTATTAATTTTTATAAATGATTAAAAATGATTTTTAAAAAATTTTGGTTTTTGATTAAAAAATTAAATTTATCCAAATTATAATCAAAATCTAATAAACCCAAATATAACACAAAAAAATGTATAGATCTGTTGAATTTTATAAGTTGTTATAATTTTTAACTTAATATTTACGTATTTTTATTAAATGATTATATTTAATTTATTTTAAATTTCTAAAATCTTAAATTTTAAAATGTAATTTAAAAACTAATCAAATTAAATTCAATTGATTAATTTTTTAAAATTAATAAACTCAATTCGAACAATAATTTTAAAATTAATGAATTTGAATAATAAAAATAAAATAAAATAGTTTGACTTTAAATATTCGATTTAAAATTAAATGATCCCCCAAGTATTACATCCCATTCATGATTCATGAACCCGCAGTCTAACAAAACATTAGCTAATAGTTCACCAACCAAGTCTGACTGAAATTCTGGTTCCCTGCTACCTTTGACGGTCTTTGCACAAAAATTCAAAACCAGCAAATCAACTTTTAAGTCACTCGTCGTCATGACTGAAGCAGATTAATTCAAGTTCAGCTTCGGAAAAGAAAACTATCATCATTTTCATCAAATGCCTACTAAAATTTTTTGGTACGCAACATTTACCACTCGGGCAGATATTTTGTTTTCTTCAACCAATAAAGTAAAATGAAATAATACTTGATTTCAACGAGCCTTTTTTCTTTTGGTCCATTGCAACAAAATTAGAGTACATCAATATGAAATGAGGATAAAAATAATGCAAGTCGAGGAAAAGGATGTAGCCATTCACTCTTGCAAGTATTTGTAAATTTTGCAGCGCTATATTCCATTAATCTGCTAAATGGCAATTCCAAAAATGACAGATTCCAGGTGACAAAATTTCAGAATTTGGAAAAAGTCTGAGATGTAGGAGAACTTTATAAATATGATGGATATGCACAATAGACTCAAAATTTGTTGATGAAAGACAGATCCTTAATACTCCATTTCGTGCATGGTTCCATCCCCCATCTTCTCCAAATCTTCTTGTGACAGCAAAGTCTTTCTATCACCACCGCCAGTCTTGTCATATGGTTGAGCCATTTTTCTTAGGAACTGCATCCACGAAGGAAATGTAAAAGTTAGGACACCAAACATGTTAAATCAAGGATTACATTCATATTCGGTAATTCTGTTCATTCACATTATTATCAAAGAGCAATCCTTGATTTAGCTTGTTTATTGCTCATACAGTAATTCTGATATTTAAATATTTAGAATATTAATACTTTATCTCATCATAAACAGAGAAAAATCAAAACGAGCTTTCAACCTACTCTAGGATCTTCTACGCTTTCAATCCAAGCAAACAAAGTTCACTTTGTAATAGTCAGCCACCTATTTAAGACTCAAAAACAGTGGGAAGTGCCAGCACTTATAATCTTACCGCCTCAACGATTCCAAAAAAAAAAAAAACTTTTTAAGGAATTCAAATTACTTCAAATGTCTAAAACAACTCCATTTCATCATTAAACCCTTGATTTAGCTCATCATTTATTAACTACATAGGAGCAAACCTCAAATATAGTTGTCTTGTTTATAAATAAAACTATATTGTAGTCTAGAAGACATTTGTCTTCTTCAAAAGCGTTAAATAAATTACTGAATAAACAATACAAGTACTCACCTCTCTTGCTATATGCAGAGCCATGTCAGTGCTCAAATTCAGGTTTGCATCTCTCAAGTGAGACAGTATCCAACTTGGTAATTTTGAGCGCTTGTCATGTCGGCTATACCTGCATTAATTTAATTCAACTACTAACTCAGAAGGTAAGTTAAGAATGATAGGAAGAAAATTTTCATGCCATGACTTTATCAACCGAAACAGACAAGAGTAACAAGTAATTCAGAATAATAGCTTCACAATTTTCAAATGTAGTGCATTTATTCTGGTAACAACTTCAATAATACCTTCAAAGTTAAAAACTTTGGGGGGGAGGGGGACAAAGGAGCAGAAAAATCCATAGAGATAGTCTAGCCTTACAGAGTCCATATCAATCTCTTACTCCTCTATCGTATCTATCTCAAGTACGAGTCTATCTAAAGGAACTAGAAAGAAGAGCTAGAAGACCAAATAAGAGGCAACAATCGCTATCAAAACCATAGAACAGAGATCCTATACAAAAACAAGAAAACTAACGATTCTATAGAGACACTTTAAGCTTTGTATTGGGTTATAAGCTCTCGTCTCACCCCTAACCCCCTCCTAAAACTCTAAAGAAAAAGACAATCGACATCGTATTCCTCGTTAGCGTATAGCTGCCCTTATCGTGAGAGTGCCATCAGCCCATGGCCCTCTCACTCCTTACTCTACACCGATCGTGGGCTATAATCCAATAGCCCACTCTCTACCTTTACAAGAGGAACGATAATCACAGTGAAACCCTTTATCAGACATACCAGAAGGAAAAGAGATACTAGCTTTCAAGACTCATATCCGAAAAGAGACAAAGACAATAGAGGAAATAACAGTCTTATCGGAAAGAGGAAAACTAGAATCGATAGAGAAAGCAGCTAGTACGGTACGCTATCGTAGCCCTTACTATACATCGTTCGGGTGCAATAGGGATTGCCCCCTCTCTTCCTCTTCTGAAACTACTTCTGAGAATTATAGTGTTGGGGTATCTAGTGCATACTATAAGCAAAAGAGACTCTAGTTAAAGAGGAATCTCCTAAAAAGAACTCCTAACACTATAAAACTAGAAAACTAGAAAGAAAAATCCTTTACCCGTTACGATTGTTGAAAAAAGAAGGGGAAAATGAAAGAATGTCACGATTGAACTCTCACTTAGGTAAATTTGAACCTTTCATCCCATGATCTGATTTTCATTTCATTTTCTCAGTAATATAGAAGAAGAAAGCAGGACAGAATAGGCTCTTACTGCTCTTTCTAGAGCTTCCCCCTTTTCAGCTGCTATTGAAGACGGTGCTATTGATATTGAATCTGCTGTGGGACTTAGGTGCCTTAAGCAGAAAAGGAGATTTCTTGGAGATTTCTTTCTGGCTGCTAAGCCCCTTTATTATTCTCTTCCATCTATGAAGTGAGTGAAGTCAAGCTAGCATCAGCAAATTGGACATAAGCAATACATGTAAATCCCCATCCTTTAGAAAGACGCTAACGATTCTCTTCCAGCGCTTTAATTAAGAGTTCAAAGAGACTAATCAATGCTAAAAACTGATTAATCGCAGACACCAATTAGCTATTGCAGTTAATCCATATCTGGAATTAGGTAAGACGAAGGGAGGAGTTCAAAGAGTAACCTAGTTGAAGAAATGGTAGGATACATAAATTAAGACAGAATAAAAACTGTAAGTTCAAATTATTCGCAGCTAACTGAAAAGCAATGCTTTTTGCTCAAGGACAGAACTCCTTGTCTCAATATACAGGAAAAAGAGTAAGGAGATATATACCTTTTATCAGCAAATATCATCATCCCATAATCAGCCTTTGAACGGATAACTCGGCCCACACATTGAGCAGCTTGCCTCTGTTTAACAGTCACATAGTCAAGAAAACAGTTGTCACACTTCATAACAACATGGTCAAGAAATGCAATTTTCTTTCAGGACAAAAATGGGTGTAGAAAAATACCAAGGCATCAAAAGTAAGAAAATCTCCTTCCTTTATCTGGAATGTGTCTCGTAAGTACTCCAACCTTGCCATCAATATTCTGAAAGGAAACCCAAGTTTATGGACATGCAGGCATAGAAAATGTAACTTATGAAAACTTCAGTACCATAAAACCATTGTACCTATAGATTACCAACGCCTACAAGTGCAAAAGGCAAAAATGGGAAGGTATAATATGGAAAGGTATAATTAAGTCATGAAACTCACTTGCTCAACGTATACTGGAAAGGAACACCAAACATGATTACTAGTCTGCCATAATGTCGATCAAAATCTATACCTTCAGCAACCTTTCCCCTGTAACATACATCAGCATTCCACATGATTGCATTAGAAATGTGATAAGTTATGCCACCTCTCTTTATACTAAATAAACTGCTGGTATTAAGACAAAATACTTCATCAAGACAACTGTTTTTGGTTATTTGGCACCAAAGACAGAAACGACTCAGAATGGCCACAATGTAACAACTGTAAGCCTATTACCCGTCTAACTGACATCAGAAATGTAACCCAATTGCATGCTCTAGTAAAAACAATTCAAAATTATACATGTAAACATCAATAGTACCTGGCAACAGAAAAAAAAACTGCACCTCTTCCACAGTCACAAGCTCTACGATAATTGTCCAAAGCCAATGTGGTTTCAACAACATCTTGCGTCTCAATGAAGACAAGCTTATGTTGCATTATTTCCTAATGGATTAATAACATTGCATCAAGAAAAAGGATATACACCTGCTTCCAGTATAAAAATAATTTTATTCTCAAGCAAGTTAACCAGCCTTAACTATAGGAGGCGAGGAAAAAGAAAAGGGAAGGAAAGAAGAAAGGGCAGAGACCAGAAGTGAGTGAAAGATGCTCAAGTTCTTTGCACAATTGATAACAAGAGAGCCCACAAGATCCTCACCTTCAGAATTCCAGTATCATTCCAAGTGTTGATAATTCCATCCATGTATGAATAACTGACGAAAAAACAGACAATTCCATCAGGGACAACAGAGACCATCTCCAACAAGAGCTTCCCATAATTCCTCACAACACCAGGATCGCTTCTCATATCAAATTTGGTACTAACAGGAAGTTGATCACTGCAAGAACAAACCGAATGGTAATTGACACAAAATGACTATATTTATAAGGCTTTAATATCTTACAAGTTACAAACTTCTAAGTTCTCATAAGCAAAGGGAAAGATTATAATCTGCCTACCTTCCACGTGTGAGAACCATTGGACATATGCAATCTCTTGTCAAGGACATTGTAAAGCTACGGCTAACAACAGGATGAAAATTAAGAAGGCGAGGGTACAGATCAATTGGGCTAAGCGTGCCAGATGTAATAACAACTGATTGGAATCGATCAAACACAGGCTTTATGGCAAGCGAAGCATCATGACAGCTCAGCTGGAATACCAAATCATGAAGATTAATATATGAAAAAGACTAAATAATAGTATCATATATTAATGATATTGTGAGCAAAAAAATGAGTAGGATTCATTAGTCCGCAACCACTGGAAAACCATCAAATTAGATCTCAGAGAGAAACAAAGGCCTACAATAAATATCAACATGGAAGACAAATCATCTACATGACCCCCTCTGACAGATAGATATCATGAAATTAGAGATCCTATACACATAGAAATAAAAAGAATGAAAATTTATCCAAATTCATGCTCTTCATTTTCTTCCCCCACGAAACAATACAGAGTGAGACTTCCAAATATATGGTCTCAACAAAAAAAAAATATAGAGATTTTGGAAAATATCACTGGGACATGTTAATGGTAGGAACAAGAACCCTTATGTTATTTCCAGAGTTATGGAAGCCTGCCAACATATTGAAAAATCACTAATTTAGAGAAGAAAAAGATAAACAAGACCAACCTGCAAGACAGGATCGGGAATATGTGGCATCCTTTCATCAAAAGGTTCAATAATTATTGAAAACCCACGACCGTATGTGCCAACAAGAGTTGCGAAGTCACATATTGTTTGGATGTGTAAGAACTCATCTGTATCAGTTATTTCTAGAGTCAACATAAGTGAATGCAAACGGTCGTAACAAAACTTCAATGCTTTCTGGTCAATTCCAGCATGACTACTGATAGAGGCAACAAAGCCAACTGGGCTTTCTTTCTCAACATTCTCAGTTTCCAGTCGACCTCTAAGATACTGAACCAATCTACGTAGAACATGCAAAAAGTGCTCAGCTCGACGGATATTTCCAGGCACAGCTTCCTTTAGAATATCATCAGGCAAGGCAGGATTTGAAAGCCAATTGTCAGTGACTGCATAAGAGAAGAGAGTGAAATTGATGATCTGGGACTATCATAAAACCAAAGGGATAATGATAAAAATATTTCCAAAAAGGATTCTATTTCACTTACTAGGTAGGTTTCCTCTCAGTGCCAAACCCTCTACAAGTCGGTTGTATTCAGCACGCAGTCTGCTTGCATCAGTGGCCTTAAACCTTCCTACCATGATATACAATTTAAATAAACATATATAAAATTTCATTTTCAGAAATTAAGGGATGATATACTCCTCAAGAACTATTCCGAAGATTGCTCCTAAAAAATTATAGAGAGCTACTTGAGGCATTTGGATATTACGACAATGAAAAAGATCAATTGCATTAAGTTCCAAAGCCTCAAACTTCACAAGTTCTAGAGCTTCAGTCCCTTACCTATCAGTTTCACCTTATAATTTCAGTTGAAAATGGAAAATTTTATGGATGGAATAAAAAGTTATCCAAAGAAAAATACATACCTATCAATCTCATGACTTATTCGATTAAGATTCCGTGTAGCTCCTTCAAGCGTCTGTCTCCTAACACTAACACTAAGTGCTTCAATACACACATTGTCAATATTATGCGCCTCATCAAAGATCACAACAGACTCCTTCTGCATTTCCTTCGATATAATCCCAGCCACCTTCGGATCAAGCAAATACTGATAGCTATAGACAACCACATTTGCAAACTGTACCATATGCCTTGCCAAAAAGTAGGGACACCACCCTTTCTCCTTCCCAAACGCCCTCAGGTCCTTCAAAAACAGTGCCATAAACAGAGATTATAGAATATAACATCAGGTATAACATAACCAGTTTATGTGAAAGTAACATGGTTTATAATCGTTCAAAAATATTGTTTGTTTCTAATTGTTGCGCATTTTGCTTTCTACTTCCGGATGCAAACGACCAAACGCTACCTAATTTAACTTCGAAACTCAATTCAAAATTGATACTTGAAATTCATATCATACATTTATCAATTGTTAAAATATATATATATATATATATATGAATACCTGAAGGGTATAAACACCCGGTGGCAAGACGGCGGCAGAAGCTGCCTTCTCATAATTCTCAAAAAACTGACACGTAGGCACATTGGGATTCTCCGCCGCCATAGCTCGAACCCAACTCGCTGTCAACTTCCTACAACCAGCATCCACCGAATCCCGATTCTCCGCCGCTAAAACCGTTGGGTTCACGCACAAATTCTTCCTCGAAGAAAGCCCAATCGCAAGAATCCTGGCTTGGGGACCCAAATGCTTAATCTGGTAATTATGCAAAAGCTTTAACTCGGCCAAGGTTTTTTCCATCTCGTGGACAGTGCGGGTGCAGTAAATGAGCTTGATGGGGCTTTGGGGTTTGGAGAGGGAGTAGCTAGTGATGAGAGAGAGCAAAGCGATGGTTTTTCCGGTGCCTGTGGGCATTTCAAGAAGGCAATGGCCTTTGGCGTCTAAGGCTCGTTTTAGTTCGATCATGTAGGAGTATTGTTCGGGGTAGATATGGTCATAAGGGAAGTAGACTGTGACGTCTTCGATTTGGAACTTCATGGTTTTTTCTGGGTTCTGATTTGTTTTAAGCGGTGTTTATGGATTTATGTTGGATTCGGACAAGGCAGGGTTTAAGGTTTTGAGGCTGCAAAGAGAAGAATGGAGAGACAATTCTTTCGCTTTGACTTGGTGCCTGACTGCTTCTGGGTTCTTTCTGGCCCGACCCAAGATACTGATGCACAAAAACTTCGGTGTTGGGCCCTTGGCCTTTTGACTTCCAAAGTCAACAACCCAAAAGGTTGGATTAAATCACTACATTTTCAGACTCGTCATCCCTAACCAACATTAAAACCTTCTAAATGTGAGAGTTGATACGGCTTAGGCTTAATTGTCATTGTCTCAAATATCCTCTTTCACAAAACGTTTCAAAGCTTGTGTTTCTAAGCTTTAACCTTCGCACCAAAAAGGAGCCAAGATTACCGGAATTCTAGCAAGGAGGGAGAGATCAAGTTTTACTAGCCTGATTTCTTTCATTGTGTGGAAATGGCCGTGGCAAGGGTCGATCTGGACTAGCTGGTCGCTATGGCTTTGGTTAGGTCAAATACGACCTTTGTCGACGTCGATTGGCCCTTGGTCAGCCAACGAGAGATTGGAGAAAAAAATGAAAGAAAAAGGAGACAGAGAACAAAAAAATTCACTATTTTTTTAACAAATCAATTGACACATCCCGATTACGTGTCAAACAGATGGTTAATAGGTGTTTTCGGTTCGTATTTAAAATAAAAACACTAACAGAAAAACCCTTCTTTTTTTTTGTGAAGATCAACAAATTATTTTTTAAATAATAAGGATCAAAATGACATGCTATCCATAATTTAAGGACCAAAAGTATAATTTACCTGTAAATAATACAAAACCTAACATCAACCATATCAATCTAGCTTTACGATTTTAAGGACCTATCTCCTGCACATGTACTTTTGCAGGAAAATGTTAAAACATAAAATTCTATAAGCACGAAATAAATGGGGTACTTTTATTGAAGTAGATTACGGCAAACAATCAATCATATGGATTTTGTGCTGTCATTATTTATGATACATATTACTCCATCATTAGCAGTCACAGCACAATAATAATCGTATAAATCTGATGCTTTTATTCATTTTATGGGGGTAACATATAGTAATTCTGGCCTTTGAGTTTCAATATATCGGCTAGTAAGTCCACTCCTTGGGAAGAAGTATCTCCGGCGAAGAACTTTCATTCTGGGAAATAACACAACGTTTTATCGATACATGATCCTTCTCATTTTTATTGTTGAATGAACTCAACTCTCCACCTTTCGAAGTGTTGGTTTTGTGATCTGCATGAAAAATGAATAAATACCATTTTTAGCAACAAAGGACACAAGGTTATTCAAAACACAAACCAAAAAGATTAAAGGGTTAATATGTAATTTGATCTTTGAATTTTATTATTTTTAACAATTTTATATTTATAAAAATATTCGCAATTATATGTTCTATATGTTTATTATTAAGCATTTTTATTATTGGCTAAAACTAACTATTAGTCAAAAAGTTGATGTGAAAAATAATAACCAATAACAAAATCACTGTATAGTTTTGACGAAAATAAAATTTAGATATTTAATCGTGAATTTTTTATAGATATTAAATTATGAAAAGTGATATAGTTCAACGATTAAATATAACATTAATCCAAAAGTAAAACATAATTAGAGGTAAACCTCGTCGGGAAGAAATTTGCAGGCCTAATTCATGAACATTGAGTTTGAGAGCTTGAACAACCCGGAAAGGGAGGAGAACAGGAGAGCAAGCTGCACCCAAGATGTCAAATTCTAACATATCAGTAAACAGAAATTTTAAAATTTGATGATTTTGAATCCTCTAGAATAATTCAATCTAATATATGTTGTACTTATAATGTTGTAGTCAGATTGAATGTCGCAGTACCTGGCCTTCTGCTTGACTGAAAATTCGTGCCAGCCCTTTGAGGAAGGAAAACACCAGTCCCACATGATTTTTGGCCAGAATGTAGGAAAAATGCCTGCATTCCAGGTCCTCCTGAAGCCCACTTGCTCGAATATCTTGGTTTGTGATGCCATCTGGAGCTAGCCTTTGAGTGCTTCAGAAAAATATGCATGTCAAAGGAAAAGAAATCAGGATTACAGAATTGATCAAAATCATTCAGTAAGATGAAACTGAAAGTGATGAGAAGTACTTGATGAGATTCTGAAACAAAAAAAAAAAAAAAAAAGAGAAATAATAGAAGAGTTTATAGATCATAAAGCTGTCATTAGTGCATTGCTTTGTGATTATCTAAAAGATAGATCTTGCCACAACGATTTTCTCCACCCAAAAACAGCTCCTCGAAATAAACTACATATTTCCAGAAAAAAAAAATGCCCAAGGCCATCAACATAAATGACCCCAAAAATATTTTAATTTTTTTAACCAATAAATACTAATCAATCTTGTAATTGTTTGTTGAGGAAATTTCACAATTAATCTGTGGGCCTTTTGCAATGGCCCTTTTTTTTTATTTCATCTGTAACTTTTAAAAATTTAATTCAAATTTATTCATCTGTCAATATATGAGTGTACTTTAAATGTGACGTGATAAATTAAATTTATGAAAAATTCAAAAAATAAAGATTAATAAGTCAAATGAAATTCAAAAAATCAAGATTTTAAAAATATAATGCACAGATAACATGATTTCAAGATTTGAAATAAATTCAAAAAATCACAAACAAAAATAAAAAACTTTAAAATCGTGAATTAAAAAACATTACCGCAAAGTTACGAATTATGGTTATTATAATAAGAAATTATCTTATCTAGAGTCAGTAGAATAATTTTTAAATTTTATACACGAGATTAAATACGAATCCCCTAAAATATATAAAAAAATAAATAAAACAATACAACCAATATAGGACTAGCAATAATATTTCCTCATTAGGAGTCATTGCTTGTTGAAAGAAAAAAAAAAAAGGGAAACTCTCTGGACCAAATTATACTGTATATTCACTGACTTCTAAACAAAGGAAAGTAAATAAGAAAGTCCAGGACTCACTCAATATATTTCTCTGTCAATTATCTTTCTAGTCAACAGATGCTTGTTTTTCATCCCATAATTCCCGGTTTCTTGAAAGTTTCTTTGATTTTCACCCAATTATCCCATCATTTTCCTCCACTTGTTTCAAAATTTTCAGCATCACAACAATATTTAAAATATCTCACCAAATACCAACTTATATTTTCTAAAGAAGAAAAAAAACGAAGAGAAAGTTTTACAGTTTTCCATCAACGACGATCAAAATTTTCTTCATATTTTGGTTTTGAAACGCAATGCAATGATAAAAGAGGAAAAAATTATGAATACCGGTGGCAAGGGCTCAGTAGGCAACTTTGAACGATGGTGATGATAATGGTACTTCACATCATCCTGTAAAATTAACAGCAAACCAATAATAAACACAATCTTTTCTACTGAATCATCAGCAGCTGCCTGTTTTTGGTAAAAACGACAATGAAAGAAAGAAAACTAGGAACAGATCTAGATTTAGCTGTTAAGACATTGATGAATAGAGCAAGAGAAAAAAAATTGGTTGAAGATTGAAGACCTGGTTCTTATTTCCGGTTTCCACTAATGCCTCATCGAGAACATAGGAAGGCAGCCACGACATTGCTTCTTCGAAGCCAACCTCAATATCTTCGACGCCAACAGCCATTGTTTGAAAGAGAGAATCCCTTTACAGTTTCCTTTTTTGTTCTTCTGAACTCCAACTTCCACAAATTTTATGTGTTACGTTGGAAAAGATTGTGTGAGAAAGAGATAAATATATAAAGGCCTAATAGGCTAATAGTACCAATATATATATATGTATACAAATAGGCTTAATGGAGAGTCTAATTCACTTTCTTGATAAAGCGCGTGCAACCCAGTTTCAACTTAGGGAATCCTAAACGAAGTCGTTTAAATTTTGAGCGTATGCTAAAACGGAATTGTCCGTGTAAATTGGACCTTGATTTGGGACTGGAATGAAGCATCAAACCACGCAATTTTTCATTGATTTGTATTTTTTTGGTTTCTTTTATGGCTCTCAATTTATCCTCTTATCTTTTTCCTCTTATTAGTGATAAAAATTTAGAAAAATTCCTACTTATTGCATGATTATGTAAATTTTTGATAATTTATATAATCAATTTAAAAATCTGCATGTGATATTCATCAAATTTGAATTTTAAATTTTAATATTTGAAATTTTTTATTTTTAAATTACAATTTTTTAGACAAAAATAACATAATTTTAAGTAAGAAGTTGGTCAAAATAGGGAAAAAAATTGGGTATAATCAAATAAATTTTGAAACATTTTTTTTATTGCCAATTGCTCATAATTTTTCACCACAAAAAATCATGCTAATTAATAGTCCTTTCCTTGAAAAGTTTTAAGGTTTTTTTGGAAAGTTTGAATAGTAATGTTTTAAATTGGTATGTAGGTTGAGAATTTAAAGACATGAACAAATCTTCCCTTTCAAATATAAAATATGTTTCATATTTGGCAATATTGTTAACCATTATGCCAAATTAATGAGTTTAAAAATGATTGGAATTCAAATTCAAAGGTCAAAGCCATGTTAATTAATTAATTACTGCATTATCTCAAACTTAATTTACAAAGTTTGAACTTTGACCGCTTAGCAATAGCCAGCACAAACTTATTTCTTCCATTTTTAAAATTTGCATTAGCCTCTCTTTTGTTAAATTACTATCAAATCAAAGTAAATATTTTCCAACAAAAAATTTAATTGATAATATTTAATAAATTTAAAATTTAAATAATAACATTCGCAATCTGTTCTCTTTTTCTTACATTGTGATATTCTTTTCACTTTTTAATTAAATAATATATATTATAAATTTTTTATTTTAAAAATATATATTATAAATTTTTTTATTTTATTAATTTTAACTATTCAAATAAAAAAGTATATATCTTCTTCTTTATTTTTCTTTTCTTACTAATATTTATGAAAAAAAAAAAAAGGTATTTCAATATTTTAATGTCATGCCAATCAGGAGCATGGGCGCCGGTTGGGTTCGGTACAACCCTTTTCAAATTTTGTTGTAGCAGTTCATCTTTTCTTTCCGTCTTTTCAGAGGGTTTTCTTTTTCCTTTTCTTTTTTTGCAGTTTGTTTAATTAATGCAATTAAGAGTACAAATTGATGACTTCAGGCATCTCTGTAAAGCCATGCGATACATGCACTGCAGCAGCAAACTCCGACATTTGGTTCCCCACATCTTGAAATGTTTGGTTTACGAAAGTAGGCCCTTCCAGACGACATACAACACTATTCCAGCAAGTCTTCATCCTATATGGGCAAACCTCAAACAAATGTGATGATGTTGGTGAACTACTGATTGCTTATTCTGCTAGTCCTTTTGCGGACGTCTAAACCAGTTATTTACTTTCATTAAGTAACCAAAGACAACCTCAAATTTAGTTTTGAACATTAATCAATGATCTGCTTGTTGGCAGATGACTGCTATTTTTGTCTCAGGGTAAGGTCAAAGTTGTCAATAGTAAGTTATAGATTTATTCAACTTCATCTAATTATCCAAAGCTTTAGCACTTGTCAAAGTGGTGATGTTAAGTTATTTTATTATTGGGTTGGCAAAGTCAGGTGAGATTTTGTAATTCTGCCTTTATAGGTGACAACTGCAAGCATGCTTAATCTCGAGCATAACTTGTTGATTCACCTAATTAGGGCTAGGTGGTGACATCTGAGTGACGTCTAGCTGATTTGAAATCTGTAACTCCTTTCTCTATTTCCAAGTTACGCCTTTTTATACATAAAAAGAAAAAAAAAAAAAAACTGCAAGTATGTTCATGCTTTTAGCTCAAAGTAAACCATCAGTTTTCTTGACAACTTCTGCAGGGAGTAAACAGATAGATATGTTAGAGTAAATCATGGCATAAATCTCATGTGTATAAAAAAATGATCAAATCATGGAACCGTAAGGTGCTGTTCTTCAATTCACTCGACAGAAAAAAGGTGCCGTTCTTCATTACTTTCTTTGCAATGTACATAGCAGCCAGTAGCAATTAACAGAGAACTTTTATATTCAACATTAGCAGTTAGTAGACTGATTGGAGATGGAAATTCAGACTGATTTTTTTTCCCAAAAGATTTCAGATGGATTGATCTATCATTTTTCGAAACCTTCTGCAGCCAGTTCTGCAGAATAATATTTCTTACATTCACTACAGAAACAATCAAATTATGCAGGACGAGGGTCAACGACTCATCATAAACTGCTTGAAACTTCAATGACACGAATTTTGCTGGTTAGTTTCATGACTTTATACGTTTTCTCGTAGACATCATATTCTGTCTGAAAATTTTCCTTGAATTCCGGAAGATTTTGGATTCTGATATTGTGAAACTTACCCTATATTTGAATAAACATTAATAAAAGAAAAAAAGGAAAGTAAAGTAAAGGAAGGAAAGGTTATTTAAAGGAAAAGAAATGATATATGTATCCTTTATTTGAATAACTAAAATTAATAAAAAAAAGAAAATAAAGGAATATATAAGAAATGATGGTTAATCTTAACAATAGTTGTTTGGTTAAATAATAGAAAGGAAAGGAAATGATTTATTATATTATTTTTTTCAATTATAATCTCTAATAATTTTTGTTTTTACTATAACATTTACATGTTTATGTTAACGTATTTTATGTTTTCAATTTTCCGTTATTTCTTCATAATAATAGTTATAAATAAAATTTATGAAATTCATAAAAATAAGAGAGAAAATTTGGAGACAATAAATTTATTGATAAATGATGTTTTGTATTTTCAATCTAATTTTGAAATTCAAAATTATATACTTTTAATTTAGAAAAATTAATAAGAATATAATAGTTATTTTATATTTTAAAACTTTTATTCTTTTCCTTTCTTTTCCTTTCCCCAATTTTGAGGTAATTAAAAAATGAAGAAAGTTGAGGAAAACTAAGGAGAGCTAAGCATACCTTCCTTTCCTTTATTTTTATTTATGAAATATACAAATAAGGGAAAGGATTCCCATTTTCTTTTGTTTTCTTTTCATTCCTTTCTTTTTTCTCCTCTTACCTCAATCCAGTGTCAATGATTGATTAATTTAGGAAAACTTGATTCCTAATTTAATGAAAAATGGAAAGATTGCATAAAAATCGAATCATATGAGATTTCTTATAGATTCCATAAAATTTCATAATTTTCTAGTTCAAAGTTATTGAATCCCCTATAAAAGAGATCCAATCTGTGAATCATGGAGCCAAAGCACATCATGATCAACCAGGGGCCCATTGAAAAGCATGAAGAAGTATCGAGCAAGAATAGGCATCAAGCAGTAACCAAATTGCTTAGAAAGATTTCGAGTGTATTTTTGGGTATTCTCTAAACTAGGAACGAGCGAAGGAAAAAGTGAGTTATTCAATGGCTTTGGCAGCAATAATTTGTGGTGGAGCTTGGGGTATGTTAAGAGAAGGCTATAGAGAAAAGGAAAGAAAAATGAGAAAAAGAAACTGCTTAAAAACGCAACACTTTGCTTGAAGAAAGCAATACTCTAGAAGTCTAAGCAAAAGAGGAAGGCAAAAAGAAGGGGAGGGTCCAACGGTTAGCACTTGGCCCAATTAATGGAAGCCTAACTAAGTTTTAAGACTTGGACCAAGTTAAGATTTAAATTGAAGAGCTTAATAATAAGCTCAAGCATTGCCTAAGCCCAATTTTGATAATTTTTTTTTATTTTGATTTTGTTTTTTTTATTTTTATCTTTAAAATAAAAAAAAAAAACTTTGATAAGATATTATATAATTTATATGTTTTATTTATGATTTTTTTTGCATTATTTTTTTTATTATTTATTTTTGCATGATATTTATTTGCATTATTTATTTTTACATGAATTTAATTTAATTGCATGTTTTTGTATGGATAATATATATATATATATATACATGAGTTTGATTATTTGCATGATTATTAATATTTTATTTGTGTGACTTTTTTGCATGATTAATTATTGTTTGCATGATATTTTAATATTATTGCATGATAATTTATATTATATTTGCATAATTATATTTGCATGATTATATCTACATGATTAATATTATATTTGCATGTTTAATCTATTTGCATGATGATTTTTGTATGATATTTTATATTATTGTTTGATATTTTTGCATGGATATTTTGGTGTGATTTTGGTATGATTATATATTTAATTACATGTTTATTTGCATGATTTATATTATTATTTGCATGATTATATATTTAATTGCATGTCTATTTACATGATTTATATTGTTAATGCATTATTATATATTTAATTTCATATCTATTTGCATGATTATTTATTTATTTGTGTGATTGTATGATTATTAATATATTTGTTTGCATAGTTATTTATTTATTTATTATTATTGCATATTATTGCATGATTTTATTTTATTGCATGATATGATATTATATGTTATTGCATGATTGATATTATATTTGAATGATATCTAATTGCATGTGTGCATAACTGCATGATTATATTTAGTTACATAATTATTAATATATTTGTGTGATTATATTTTATTTCATATTTGTATGGTTATTAATATATTTGCATGGTACTTTATATTATTGAATGATACTATATATTTATATGATTATTATTATTGTATGATA